AGGGATGGGCCTTGAGGCGCCCCAGGGGGCTGAGGGTTCGGAGAGCTGGGAGGAAGGCTCCTCGGCGGTGGGGGCTGGTGGGCAGCAGGAGACCGAGGGCGCCTGGCTCCGGCCCAGGCTCGCTGCCCATGGCACCTGGAAGCCGCCCCCCACCCGCGTGGCTGGAGCAGACACCCCTCACCCCCAACCCCAGGGCAGAGGAGGCCTCCGAGCTGGTCTCGCTCTCTCCCCTGCCCCACTGTTGAGCTTGCAGCCTTCCCCCTGCTAACTCAGCTCCCTGACTTCCCCTTCCCTGGCCTGGAGCAACAGGAATGACCCCAGTGGTCTCCTCCTGTGACCAGCTAGGTAAGGGCCCCTCCAAGGATTCCACAACCTAATCCCCAGGACCTGTGACTATGTTACCTTCCCGGGGTGAAAGGGGTTTTGCCCATGTGAGTAAATGAAAGATTTTGCGATGGGGAGATTATCCTGGATTAACCAGGTGAGCCCAATGTAATCATTGTAAATCCTTACAAGAGGGAGGCTGCAGGGTTACAGATACAGAAAGGGATGTGACAAGGGAAGCAGAGGGGGGACACAGAGAGACTAGAAGACGCTCTGCTGCTGGCTTTGAAGGTGGAGCTAGGGGCCGCCAGCCAAGGACAGCAGGCAGCCTCAGAAGCTAGAGAAGGCGAGGAAGCCGGTTCTCCTTAGAACTCCAGAAGGAATGCAGCCCTGCCAACCTAGGACTTCTGACCTCCAGAGAATAAATTTGTGTTTTTAGCCACATTACTGTCTGTGTCCACGGGCTATACATAGATGCTCTTTAGCTAATCCCTTCACCTTCCTTTATCCAGTCCCCCCACCTGCCTCCCCTCTGACTGCTGTCAGTCCATCCCATGGATCCATGCCTCTGGTTCTATTTTGTTCATTAGATTCCAAGTATTAATGAAATCATATGGTGTTTGTCTTTCTCTGACTGGCTTATTTTGCTTAGCATAATCATCTCCAGGGCCACCCGAGCTATTGGAAAGGATAAAAGTTCCTTCTTTTTCACAGCTGCATAGTATTCCACGGTGTAAATGTACCACAGCTTTGTTATCTACTCGTCTACTGACGGGCACTTGGGCTGTTTCCAGATCTTGGCTGTTGTAAATAACGATGCAATGGGCCAGTTTTTTGGGGTTTTTTAATGAGCACTGATGATACAAAGTTGAAGAGGCTAGAAGCCCACCTTGACAGAGCATGTGTGCTCAGGATCCTAATGAAGGATGTCTGGACAGGGGGCACCGAAGACAAAGGTGGGTGGGAAACTGGAAAGAAACACTGAGGTCTATTCTGAGCCAGCATTCTCCCAAGCATAACTTCACCCAAACAGGAGGTGGGAGTTTGTGGCGGGCAGAGTCATGGCCGCCCCAGAGCTATCCATGTGCTAATACCTGGAACCCATGAATATGTTATATTAACATTGAGTAAGTTAATTAGACTTTGCAGATGAATTCAAGGTTACAGATTTTAAAATAGGGAGGACATCCTGGATTTTCTGGGTGGGCCAATCACATGAGTCCTTAAAAGTACAGAACCTTCCTTGGCAGAGGGAGAAGAGACGTGGCAGGAGAAGTCAAAGAGATGGCGAGTGTGAGGACTCCGTGACTGCGGTGTTAAATCAGAGTCAGGTCAGGGCAGCTCTCAGGCTGGGAGATGTGAGAGGAGCACTGTTTTGGGCAGCAGGGAAAAGGCCCCCCAAATCANCGAGTGTGAGGACTCCGTGACTGCGGTGTTAAATCAGAGTCAGGTCAGGGCGGCTCTCAGGCTGGGAGATGTGAGAGGAGCACTGTTTTGGGCAGCAGGGAAAAGGCCCCCCAAATCAAGGACAAATCAAGGCCCCCCAGGTGAGACAAATGTGGCAGTAGTGTGGAGGTCAGTGTGGCTGGAGCAGAGAGAGGGAGAAGGCAGGTGGGAGAAGAGAGCAGGGGGAGATGGGACAGAGCCCACAGGTCCTGCAGGCTGTGGCAAGGACCTTCTGTGAGTAGGGGAGACTGCAGGGCTTGGAAGAAAGGAGTGATAGGATATTGCTTCAGTTTTGCTGGGATCAACGGTGAGACTGGACTGAAGAAGGCCAAGGGCGGGCGGCTACCTGCTGCACTAATCCAGGGGAGAGAGGATGGTGGCTCGGACAGGATGGGGTCAGAAGGGGCCTGGGATAGCCATAAGCTAAAGGCAGAGGCATCAAGAATTTCAGGATAGGGTGTGGGGTGGGAGAGAGAACTGCAGGCACGGATAACTCCAAAGTTTTGCGTTCAGCCAACCGGGAAGACAGAATTGGCAGTTTATTGCCCGATGGGGGGAAGGAAGCTCAGCAGCTCAGTGCTGGACAAATCAGTTTTGAGATGTACGGGAGGGGGCTTTGCAAACAATGTGATAAATAGGAGGCTTTTGTCCCTTTTCTAGAAGTTTCACTTCCTCCTGCCCGCTTGAAGCTACCCTTTCACCCACAGCCCAGAGGCGGGTGGAGGAAGCGGCTGGTGACTCAGCGGAATCCGCCTCTTTGTCTCCAGAGTCCCCCCTCCCAACCGTGACACAGCAGAAATGCAGCTGCACGTGGGGCCGGAGGAAATCTCGACTCAGCACTTCGCAGGCACTGACTGCTGCGTGGAAAACAGAAGTGGCTGGGGCTGCAGGGAGGGGCCGGACCTGTGGCTTCCAAGGCTCTGAGAGGGAAAAGCAGAGGCGCGGCCCCAGCTAAGGCTGGGGCGCACGGGGCAGTCTCTTGACTCAGCTGGATAGTCTCCCAGGAGAATAGAGAGACCCCCCCCCTCCTGAGTATCTTCAAGCAGGGAGCACCCCTAATAAATAAGGTTACACAGGGTTTCCCGACCCCACCCATGCGGCACACAGTGCCTTTGGGCGGACCCGCGACAGACAACCACCAGAGTTTGTGTTTGAATTCTGGAGCCTTTATTAGCTGACCAGCGGCTACAGTTGCGGCGTCTCACCCA